GTGGTGATGGTGGTGGTGGTGGAGGTGGTGGTGGTGGTGATGATGGTGGTGGTGGTGATGATGGTGGTCGTGGTGATGGTGGTGGTGGTGATGATGGTGGTCGTGGTGATGGTGGTGGTGGTGGTGGTGGAGGTGGTGGTGGAGGTGGTGGTGGTGTGTGTTTTGAGACAGGTTTCACCGTGTAGCCCAGCCTGGTCTTGAAGCCATCAGCCCCTGCTGCTGTCATCCCCAGTGTTAGATAACAGGCATGTGCCATTAAGCCTGACTCAGATTCTTTTTTCAAAAACCTTTCTAAAACCTACCCAGAGTCTGGATACTTGCTTTATACCCAGAGGTGTCCCTGGCCCCGAAAAGGACAGACAGGGTGGCCCGCACTGTGGGCAGGTGAAGGTTCTGTCTCAGTTATTTTTCAGTTGCTGTGATAGAATACACTGACAAAAGCCACTTAAGGAAGGAGTGTTCTCTTTGCCCACCACTACACCATGCAGGGGACAGACTGACACAGCAGCCAGCCACATCAAATCCGCAGTCAGGAAGGAAGCAGAGGGCCATGGACGCACAGTGTGCCTCAGTTCCCTTTCTCCACTCTACAGTCTGAGACCCCAACCAAGGAATGGTGCTACCCACAGTGGGTGGGTCTTCATACCACACCCCCACCAGCAAGCTTAGAGGCCTATCTCCTGGGTGACTCTGGAATCTTCCAAGTTGACAATTCATGTTAACTATCCCAGAGGCCAAAGCCCATACCTGCCTAGTTTGGTCTCAGTGTCTCTGGGGAGTGTGGTGACGGAGGATCCGTGTTCTAGGCTGGGAGGACTCTCACTAAAGGTCCCTGGTGTGAGGTGCCGCTGAGCCTCAGGGCCTGTTCCGGATCAGACCAGAGCCTTGAGCTTGGCAGGGAAGGCAACACTGGGGTTTGAATTCCAGCAGTGGGTGCTAGGCAAGGTTTTGGGTGCAAACTAGGCATGCCTCTGCCCTAGAAGAGGAGCAGACCTGTGAAGGCAGTGGGGTTGGGAGTGGGGCAGAATATTGCACACACTGGAGTTGCTTGTAGACCTTGCTCGTAAGCAGCCCCCTAGCTGGAGCAGGGCTCAGTGACCTAGAGACTGCACTGCTCTGAAGGATTTGGGTTCGGTTCCCAGCACCCACAGCTGGCAGCTGTGAATTAGGGAGGATCTGACACCCTCTGGCTTCCACAAGCACCTGCGTGCACGTGGGACACATGAACTCATGTGACCCCACACATACACACAAAAAGTAAAAAATGGATCTGGACAGGACATGGTGGTGCATGCCTGTAACCCTAGCACTCAGGAGGCAGAGACAGGCAAACCTTCGAGTTCAAGGCCAACCTGGACTACATAGCAAGTTCCAGGACATCCAGGGCTACATAGTGAGACCTTCTTAAAAAAAAAAAAAAAAGTCCAGTCTGGCACACCAGCATTTCCCAGGTCTTGTGTTACAGCAGATGGACTAAAGGATTAAAGCTAGGATTAAAGGTGTGCTCCACTCTGCCCATCCTTTACCCTATTTTTTGAGACAGGGTCTCTCACTGAACCTGGAGTTACCAACTAGCCAGATTAGCTGACCAGCCAACCAGGTATCCTCCTGCCTCAGTCTTCCCAGAACTGAGATCATAGATTGTATTCTGCTGAACTTGAATTTTTTTAAACGTGGATCCAAGGGATTCCACTCAGTTCTTTAGACTTGCATGGCAACCGCTTCATTGAATCTCTCGCCAGCCAGTTATCTTTTTACATTACATTTGCTTATTTATTTGCCTGTATTTTATGTGCCTGTGTCACAGCGAGCATGCAGAGGTCAGAGGACAACTTACTAGGGTCAGTTCTCTCCTTCCACCGTGTGGGTTCCACGAATTGGACTCAGGTCGTCAGGCTTGGCAGCAAGGTCCTCTACCCACTGATCCACCTTGCCTGCCCCTGAGAATCGTTCTTAAGAAGCTGCTGTGCCCTTCTCCCTGTGGCTTCTAGGGTGCTCAGAGGTGACTTCCTGTTTTGAATGGAGAAGTCATATCCTCAGGATGGTGAGGTCTGGAGAACTCTGTCATAGGTAGAGGAGATACAGGTTGAGAACTGGGAGAGAAGACAGTTGTCAATCAGTGGCAGATACCCCATGTCCAATATACTTCTGAGCCCACTTATGACCTCTGAACTCTTCTGGCTGTGCATCCAAGGCTTGGAACTCCATATGTTGTGAGATGAGGTTGAGGAGGGCAGAGTTCTTCTCTGTAACCATGTAACGCTCCCTGGCTGTCTGGTTCCTATCTTGTGCCTTGTGTGCCTAGGCCGGGCCTGCTGGCCTCTCATGCCAAGCTGCAGATGGGGTCCCCACACCCTCCCAAAGGATTGCCAGGGTGGAGAATACAGGCAAGGTCTGGTCCAGACCCAGGGCCTATGTGCAAATCTGTCCCTTGCTGTACCTCCCAGTGAGCTGCGGCTCTCAGCCATGTCCTCTCCAACGTCTTGGCTACTTCCATGGTTGGTGGGGTGAGGTAGGGGTGGGGAAACACTGACTCCCACCCCGCCCTGCACCCTGTATCTGGCACTGCCGACCCAGCTGGTCTGAGAGACTTCGGTGGCAGTGCCTCCCGCGCACATGTGAGCACAGATTCTTGGCTGGTCCCTCTCTCCATTGCTGAGATTCTGTCCAGCTGTGGTCTGCCCCCAGCAGCCCCAAGCAAGCTGGCTTGCTGCTTAGGAACACCCTCATTTGGGGTGAGTCAGGGGCTGAGTGGCGGTGTTTGGCATCCCCAACTTAGCTCCCCCTAGGGAAGGCACACACCGTTGCTACCAATGCAAGAAAAACCAAAGCACATTATACGTCCATGTGGTCCAGCCCTCAGGGAACTCTGAGAGGATGTGACCGGCACTGAGCTCTTTCCAGAAAGCCACCGGAGATCCCAATAGCCCTGGAGCAGGTACTAAGCCGCTGACTGGAGGGAGGCACAGCTCCTTGACAGACCCTGTGGCTTGTCCCTGCTACCCAACTTGGACATCTTCCCTTGGCAGGGTGCAGGGAGACCCTGCAGGGTCTTTCTGAATGCTGCTTGCTGCTGTGTGGACCCTGATACATGACTTCCCTCTCTGAATCCCTTTATCTCGTTCCTGGGTTTCAGGTGCCCTGTAAAAGGGCTGGCATCGCTATCTCTTCCTCCCCCTTCCTCCTCCTCTCCCTCCTCCTGCTCCTCTTCTTCCTCTTCCTCTTCTCTCCTCTCCCCCTCCTCCTCCTGCTTTGGACAGGGTCTTCATAGCCCAGCCTCTGGCTCACAGTGCAGCTGAGCCTCACCTTGCAGCTTGTCACTGAGCTCCTGATCCTCCTGCCTCCACCTCCCAGATGCTGAGAGTTCCCATGCCCAGGTAGGGCAGCAGTGTTACTGTACCTCTAGTTTGAGCCTCTCCCTTTCTCTCCCTGCCTTACCCATGATCCTTCTGTGGCTTTCCACAATGAGTGCAGGAGGCAGAGGAAAAGCAGAGGCATGGGGTGGGCTCTCGGGAATTTCAGCCGGGTACCCCTGTGAGAGGCTAAGCCAGGACACAGAACTGGGGGGGGGCTTGATGCATCAGGATGAGGGACACCTCGAGCCAGCCTTTTCAGGGTTCAGCCCAGTTTCCCCTAACCTTTTTATATGCCTTAGATCAGCCAGGGCTCCTGCCCAGATTCATCAGCAACTGGCCTGCATGGGTCATAGGACTGGGTGGGAGACTCTGGGAGGGGCGTTGGGGGGGATGACAAAAGCTGGGCTGGTTGTGTCTTGTTGAGCAGTAAGGGTTCAATATTTGTAGTCTCCTCACCTCTCATCTGCTGCTGCCACAAGCCCATGGGGGGCTGTGGCCAACCTTTAAGGTCTGCAAGTGAAGGCTGGGGGGCTGGAGAACCCCAGGATGCTGTGTGAGGAGGGACGGAGCCGCTCCAGGGGAGAATTCTGCCTGTAACAGGAAAAGAAAGATCTCTGCCTTCTAGTGCACACACAGAGCTCCGTTCCCACCCCCACAAGGCCCCAGGGACCCGAAAGAATGTGGTTTGCTGAAGGCTGCCTTGCCTCCCTGAAGGGGGTGGATTCGGCCTGAAAAAAGTTGTGTGCGAAATGAATTTTTCTAGATCCAATGCCATTTTCCAGCAGGTCGTGTTTTAAGGCCATGGCTGTATTCCCTCAGAGAAATGTCCCCAAGTGTTTCGGAAGCAGCTAGCTCACACAGGGACGAGGAGCCTCATCAAGGGAGCATGGTGGGGTACCAGGAAACACCTTCCTCCCTAAGGGTTCACAGAGGCAAGACCTCAGGAGCTCATGTGACAGTTCGGTCCTATGTCCCAGAGGATTCTGATGGCAGAAGCCCAGAGCTTCCAAGAACTGCAGGGTTAGAGGAGCAGCTTCCCTGGCCAGAAGGGTCTGCTCAAACAAGCCACAGCCCTGGGAATCTGGACCAGGAAGCTGGCTATGGTCTGCCTGCGTTCACTAAGAGTAGTTTCCAGAGCATGTCATGGGGTCAGTATGCCTGGGAATGGATTTGGGAGGCCTGTGGAAGATAGTCCTCTCCGTTTCTGTGTTAGTCACCGACAGTTGTGTAACAAACGGCCCCACACTTAAAACAACAAGGACTTTTTATCTCAGTTTCAGAGATCAGGCATTCAACTTCAGCCCACCCCCCCCCAGCTGTCCCCAGCCTGAGGTCACTGTGGCTGAGGATGTGGGAAAGGCTTCACTGAGCATGGGGTGTGTGCTTCCTACAGATTTGTCCCATGAACTCCGGGGCTGCTTGAATGTCCTTCCAAGATGGCAGCTGGCTTCCACCAGACTGGGCAACATGAAAGACCTTTATGACCGTGCCTTGGACACTCATTTCCTCATACCGCACTGGCTGCCCCAACCAGCCCTCTTCACTGTGGAAGGGGACAATACAGCCTGTAAATGCCTGAAGGCAGGGATCATTTGGAGACCATCTTGGAGGTTGGTGACCATGGCAACCATCACTTCAGCACAAAGAGAGGTATCTTTCCTGGTGCAGTTTGTTGGTTTCTTACCATTTAGTGGACACAAGCGGCTGGGGTGTTAACCTGGGATGGGAAGGAAACGGAAGAGCTGCACTGAGCTCAGGGGGATGACGGCGGTGACCATTGCACAGCCCCTGCTCTCCAGCCGTACTCTGTCAGGTCATGGGTGCCATGACACCAGCAACCCTCACTCCTAGGCAGCTTGTTCCACCCACATTCCCAGCTTAGACAATTCATTTGTAAACAGTGCATGAGGTGAGCGTGTGTGTGTGTGTGTGCCCATGTGTGCATGTGCACAGCTATAGTCACAATAGAGCTTGGGACAGAAGAGCTTAGGATGGACCCAAGCCAGGGGTAAAAATAAATATATAGATGAGATAAAGTATTCATTGATTGAGCTGGGCAGTGGTGGTACAAGCCTTTAATCCCAGCACTCGGCAGGCAGAGGCAGGCAGATCTCTGAGTCTGAGGCCAGCCTGGTCTACAGAGTGAGTTCTAGGACTGCTAGGGGTGCACAGAGAAACCCTGTCTCATAAAAAAAAAATCAGACAAAAGCATGTGGGGAGGTTAGGATGAAGAGTTGGGGCACTTACTGTCAAGCCAGAGTCCACTTGCTGTGAACAAGAGTCACACAGGCCCCAGGCTGGGAGGACTAGTGGTCAGTGGGTACCTCTGGGTCCCCACCACTGCAGTATCCTAGGTTAAGCCTCACTGACCATTGGCTGTGTATCTCAGGCTGGTGAATTCATGGTCCTCAGTTTCCCATCTATATAATGGGTGATACTGACTTTCCCGCCTTCCCCCATTGTGATTCAGATTCAGAGACAGGGTTTGGACCCACCCTGAAGACTTAGGATAGTTTCCCCAGGACACCCAGGACACTGATGTGGTGAGTTTGAGGAATCTGCACAGAAGTCCTATTGACTGGAGGGGTTCAGTCCATGGCCAGTCTAAAGAAGCCCATGGGAAAGAATTGAGCCCGCCTTGTGCTGGGGATGTGTGCAGGCACGGGTCTGCCAGCTCTAGCCGGCTGGTCTGGGCACAGCGCATTTCTCCACTGGAGAAACATCCTGGGCGTTTTCCCCAGAAGGCTCCACACACAGACTACTTCATGCTGGTCTAGCTTTGCTCTCCCAACACACAGACTAGGAAGGGACAGCACTGGCTACAGACCTAAAGCCTGGCCTGGGCTGGAAGGATGTTTGGAAACAGAAGGTCCTGGAGGGAAGGGTCAAAGGCACTTGCTTTGTGTTGGGTCTATTTGGGAGCTGTGTGACTCTGGGCAAGTGTCTTCGTCTCTCTGGGCTTGAGTTTCCACATACACAGAGCCACAGATGGAATTTGCCTTTTGGTTCTCCACCGGTCCTGGGGAGTTTGGGCTGGCCAGGGGAACCCAGAGACCGCATGGGCGTGCACGAAGTGGGCTATGCCATCAGAAAAGCTCTCTGTGGTGCTCCTATTTCATCAGGAGGGAACGTCGAGGCTGGGAGTGTGGCTCAGCTGGTAGAACGGCAGGCATAGACAGAGCCCTGAGTTTGCTTCTCCAGTGTTGCACAAACCAGTGGTGGCACACAGCTGTCACCCCCATTCTGGGGGGCGGGGTGGGTGGAGGCAGGAGAATCCAGTTATGGAGGGAGTTTGAAGTCATCCTGTCTCAGAGAAACGGGAGGGAGACTCTCTGTAGTAAACACATTGCAATCTAGAGATTCCCACCAATCTTTCCTCTCACGCTCTTCATGCCTTAGGAAGTGAAGGACACACACACACACACACACACACACACACACACACACACACAGAAAACTGCATGGGTCAGCTATCCTTTCCAAGTGGCTTCTGGTTTTCTGGGCATTGAATCTGCTTCTCTAAGGAAGCCTGAGACCCAGGACAGGTAGAGGAGTCAGCAACTGGATGGGAGTGGGATGGGGAATGATGGGGGGCGGGGGAGGGGGTTCCAGGTGCCTGTGGCTACCAACACTGAGCCTGGCTGGCCTAACTTCCTTCCTGAGTAGCCTGCCCCATGGTGGGGGCCTGGGTCAGCTGCTTGAGCTCAGCTTCCTTCAAAAGGCCAGGAGGCTGTGGGTCCCAGCATCTCTCAGCACTCCCTAAGGCCCACATTCCGTCTGCTTGCGGCATTCTAGGGGCTCCAGGTTTATGCAGGTGTGTCGACCTCCCCCAGAGGACCAGCCAGTCTGGAGATGGGCGGGCTGCACAGGCTACAGGACCGTATATGCAGGATGCCATGTGTAGCATGTCCTGTTGGTGGCACTTCCGTATGTTCAGGTGTGCTGGAATTCAGGTATATCGATCCATTTGCTCATGAATCCCCCTCCACTAGGTTGTTGTTTTGTGTGTATTTATGCACACACGTGGAAGCCGGAGGCCAGCCTGGTCCTCCGGCCCTCCCTGTCTCCCACCTAAATCTCTCCTTGGGACCTGAAGATCACTAATCGGCTAGCAGCAGGCCAGCGGACCCCAGGGGTCCTCCTGCCCCTCTCCCCCCTCCAGCACCGGGATTGCAATTGAATGCTACCAGGCCTGGGTTTCTGATGTGGGTGTTAGGGACTGGATCCAACTGAGGTCCTCACATTGTGGCAAAGGTTTTGTGGGCTAAAACTCTTCTAGGCCACGAATTATTCTTTCCTGGAGAACCCTGAGTGTGTTGTACCCTGGTCAGTCCTCTGCCTTCACTTCCTAAGGTGCCGGGTGGGGAGGGTGCTCTCCACCTGCGGGATCCCCACAGGAAGTATCAACCTTATTCTGCCCTCAGCTCTCTCCCAGAGACCAGGAGACCCTCTGTTCTTAGTGGGAGCCACCTCCACTGGATTGAGGGACCTGGGAAAGTGCGGTGGGTCCCCCTTAGCGCCTCCATTCCACACCCTAGGGCCTTGGCCTGGCCCAGAGCGAGCTCTGGAAACTTCTGAGTGAGTTTCTGATAGACAGATTGATGACTTGTTGATCCAGGTCAATCACCTGACCTGGTCACCACAGCCTGAGAAGAACTCCATGACTTCCCTCCCCAACGGGGTCGTGGGCCCCAGCGTCTGGGAGCGAATGGGTTAAGCATTTCTGGCGGCTGCCTGCTGTCTGCGGTAGTTCCCCCTTCCCAGGCTGCTGCTGCTGCTGCTGGGGTTGGTTGGCGAGGAATGTTTGTTATGCGGGCCAGAGGGAGGAAGGACAGGGAGTGGTGGGGAGGCAATAGAGTGGGGGCCCCCAGGCCCTACAGCTAGGCTCCCCCAGGTTGAGCAATCACCCCCAAGGTCCAGTAACTTCGACCCTCTCACCCAGCCCCCACCAACCCTCTCAATGCCTCCACTTCTGGCTCTTGAGGGAGGTGGAGAAACTGAGGCTCCCGGGAAGGCAGAGAAGCAAGCCCAGTGGCCACAGCCTGTCCTATATCTTAGGGGCCACAACTGTAGGCGGGACCTTGTTGGTTCCATTTTCTCCAGGCTGCAACCCACACAGGACTGTAAAGGTTACTGGCACCTGCCAGCATGCTCAGAGCCCCAATAGGATAATCTCACCTTAGCCCTAGGCTCTCAGGTGCAGGGGGGCTCCCGCTAAGCCAAGCACCCCCAGCGTGGCCCTGCAGATGCAAACGCTGGCCACCCTGCGCCTTGCCTCCCCTAGAGTGAGGTACCAAATATTCACCCACAGGCCAATGAGCTCCAAGCCCATTTCTTTCTCCTCCCAGTTGCTCCGCATTTCTAGTGGGAGAGTTGCCTCCTACACACCAGGGGAGGGGCCGCCCCCTCACCCCCGCCATCAGCCCAACTCCATCTCCAGCACCTTGAAGCTCAGTTGCTTCGGCACCTCCAGCCCACTTGAGTTTCCTCATCTGCAGAGTGGACTTCAGAGGTTTGGGGGCAGGCTTTGCCAGAAAATTCTAGGTCACGACTTGCTTGAGTCTTCCGCTCAGGTGCGCCATCCCTGCTGGGGCAGATGATGCGATCTTTTGACACATCTTTTGGGTCACATGCCCTCTAGTGTGGAGGGGGAAGGTCCCACGAGAGTCCTGTCACTGCACTGTGTAGGACAGGAGGCGGGGAAGAGTGACTTGACTATGCAGACAGACAGACACACACACACACACACACACACACACACACACACACACACACACCATGGAGGCTGCTCCTTACATTTCCTCTGCCACAGCACTTGCTTGTTTCTCCAGGCAGGGTCTCACTATATAGCCCTGGCTGGCCTAGAACTTACTGACATCCGCCTGCCTCTGCCTCATTAGTGCTGGGATTAAAGGTTCACAACCCCAGCCCCCAGCTGAGTGGCAGTGTTTGACAAGCCTGATTTACAGTCATCAAATATCCCACTGGATGCTTGTTCAGAAAACAAAAGGGTCGTCCGGACAGTGGGGACAGTGGTATTGTAGGCTTTGTGTTTTTGTTGTTGTTGTTTTGTTTGTTCGTTTGTTTCTCAAGACAAGGTTTCTCTGTGTAACAGCCCTGGCTGTCCTGGAACTCACTCTGTAGATCAGGCTGGCGTTGAACTCACAGAGAGGGAGAGGCCTTTAATCCCAGCACTCGGGAGGCAGAGGCAGGCAGATCTCTGAATTTGAGGGCAGTCTGATCTACAGAGCAAGTTCCAGGATAGCCAGGGCAAGGCGGGGGTGGGGGGTGGGGGAGTGGGGGGTTTAGAAAACAGAAAGGTTAATGACTCTCCTAAGGTCACACAGCTGGAGAAGAGGAGAGCCTCCAGAGACCCCAGTGCCTGGGTAGTCTTGGGTTTGTGGCCCAGCACACCACCCCCACCCCAGACACAAAGATGGGGGAGCACTCCCATCCCTCAATGACAGGGTTCAGAGGCAGAGCCTCCCATGAGAGGGCATAGAGCAGGACACACAGGGTTCCCTTCACTGCTCCTGATTCCCTGTGATTGGGAAGGCTGGGTGGACACAGCACAGACCTCTCTGACTGGCATTCCCTCCAGTCTCCCCTCCAGGGACCAGGACCGTGGGCTGCGCGGCACTCCCACCTTC